TTTGAACACACTGGCCCCACCATTCCTGCCGGTTCTAAAGGTTGCCTTTCCTTAGTGCCTTTATTGAGCTATTGTGGTTGCCTCCATATCCTGAATAGATTCAAACTGTTTATCTTCATGGTCATTTTGACTTTGGGAAGGACCAGAGGCTGCACAGCACTAGATCCAAGAAATAAAGAGCACGGGGCCCACTCTCATGACCTGACGTGTCCATGTTCTTACGGGATGGACTTTGGCTGTGGCACACCCTGGACTATGATCACACCTCACAAGACGCTCAAAAGAGAGGACTTCCAGAACCTGCTCACAAAGCGGTAAGGGTGACGGGATCAGTGTGTCCCCACTGGGGTGGGTCTTTGGAAACAGAGCATAATAAGGGACAATGGGTCTCTTATTTTACTAACTTTTCAATTTAATAGTCAACACTTATCTTGCTGATACTGCCTATGTGAAGAAAGAGAACAATTTGCAAATGGAAACTCTGAAATAATGTCAGAATGTATGCTACATCCTCTAGGCTTTCAAAGCCCTGGCCCTCTAGACCTGTTGGGACCAACTGTGAGTGGGTCCATGATAACACAGGCACTCCTGAGGTGGACTGAGGCTAAGGAATCAGCTCTCCAGAGGGGGACTGTGGGCAGGATGCCCCAAGACCTTACTGGGGTCCTATCTATCCTCCCATAAAACCTGCCCACTGCTCCATCCTAAGAAACACCCAGGGTCTCTTGCCCTCTCCCAAGAGTGCTAGAGTCTCAGGACATCTCACCAGCTCTTGCTGTGGAAGCAGAATCCTCTTCTCCGCAGACTGCACCAGTACGAGCAGCTGGTGGTCACTCAGCACTGGGGATGGGTACGCAATGCAGAAGGAAAGTGATAGACTTAGTGACTGGGTGACATTCTTCTCACCGGGAAGGAGACCCAGTGACAGGGGATGTTGAGGTGGAGGGTAAACCCTGTTACTCTTGCAAGTAAAGCACCTGCACTCTTAGCTCCTTCTCCCTGGAGATGATCTCCAGGGTGCTGAGGACCGCGGTCCCAAGGGGGGATTCTCTGGCTGGAATCATCTGCCTCAGTGGATGCCTTAGGATTGGTGGCCACTTGCTCTCTGAGCCTGGAGCTCAGGCTTGTCACATGAGGAGCTGTCACCCTGAGCCCTCCAGTCCTTAGAGGGAAAGGGGACCTGAGGAGCATTGTAACTTCAGGCCTTGGGAGAGCTGCTGTCTAAGGCTGCCATGGAGGAGACCTGGGATGCACCATGAGGACCCACCCACACCTCCTTCTAATCACTCTTTCCCATTAAGACTTCCAGGAGGTAAATAGTGAGGTGCTCTAAGTTAACCCAGTGAGGGCTTGCTCCCTGTCGGAGCTCCTGTAGGAGCTTCCCACCAGGCCCTTCCAGATGGCCCAGGTTTTCCATTTCCAGCTGCAGAAGACGGGTGGTCTTGTTCACAACAGATTCTCTCGACTTGTTTCAATCTCTTTTTGTCTCCCCCCCTGTTTTATTTCATCCCCGTTCCCCCTCCAGGTACACCCCACGGATTGATCCGCAGGCCAGATCCCCTTTTCTTTGTTTTTTTTTTTTTTTTTCAGATACTTCATAAAGGAAAAAACCTACACATGAGAAATCAAGTCTTAGCATGGTGACTGGATCATAACTCTGTCATTTAAGTGTTCTACAGACAGCCTGGGCTTCTGGCCGCAGCACTGCTGTGAAATTCACTGCTCCTCCTGGCTTTAGAAACGAAGCCTGGTGCCCATCGTCTCTACCTCAGGGGTTCTCTAAGGACAGGAAGGAGGAAGGCTCATTTCCACCGCTAACTGAAGAGCCAGAGCTAAGGCTGGGCTCATGGCAAAGCGCTGTGAAGGTGGTATGATGACCGTGTTGGCAGTTATACACTTTTTTGCAAAAGGGCCTCACTCAGAAGTGACAAATGAACAAAACATAACGGAGGTAGGTATAAACAGCAAGTACACACGGTATCATTCCAAGTAGAGCATCAGCCAGAGCAAAGTCTCCGAGCTCACACATGCCTAAGAAATGAGGAGGGAAAAGAAAGCCTAAGCGGTGAGAAGAATCAGGGACACATTGGTGCCCGATGGGCCCAGTTGGTCTTTGTCTGCTCTTTCTCTGACCTGCAGTGAAAACAGGAATCCTCAGCAGGGTCTGAGTTCCCAGGGACACCTCTGGTGCACCTGGAGACATCCTGCCTGTGGTTACGGTGGTGACAGAGACTAAAGTGAGGGCAGGGTGTACAGTTGGTACAGTTTGCAGTAATCTAGGTAAAGTTGTCAGTGGACTGGATCAGGCCTCTGCAGGTGAAGAGATGTGCAGTGATGAGGTCCCGGCCTGGCGCTGAAGGTAGAGACAAAATCCAAGACAAGAGTGAGGGGCAGGTGGCTCTGTGAGGCTCAGAGCCTACACTCAGCACAGCTCCGGGAGGTGCTGTGGATGCCAGCAAAGCCACTCTGAACCGGCCTCTCTGCAGGGCAGTGTGGAGAGTGAAGGCAGGCACATATCAGTGGGTGTGACAGAGGCAGAGAAGGTGACCTGGGAGCCATGAGTCACGGCCAGGAAAAGGCAGGTGGCTGGGAAACACCAGAGAATGAAGTGCACACACGTGTATCGTTCTGCATGCACTCGGGGTACTCGTGAGAACAAGGAGGGTTTTCCTTGTGGAGCCCCTCGCTGTGACAGAAGGGGTTAAACAGCCCTGAAGGCAGCAAAGTGAGCAGCACGCTGATGTGCAATCTCCCCAGGGAGAGGCAGGTCCTCCTCACACGCACACAGGAAGGAGAAGGCACAGCCAGAGATGCCTGGCATGGTCCTCAGCCCACCTTACTCAACGTCCATACAGATGACCGTCAGGGAGCAGAGCAGGGAGCAGAGTCCTGGACATCTGTCACTACCGAGAGCCTGTTTAACCAGTTAGAGGTGCAGAGAAAAGGGTTTCCCTTCCCGCAGCTAAACACACAGGAACTGCTTTGTCACTCGGTTACCACTCAGTCAGTCAGTGAGTTTAGTGAGTGCTTGTTAGCTGCCAAGCCTGTCCTGGGAAAATTCCCTATGTGAGTGAGACAGAAACGGTCTCTCTTCCCTCAGAGCCCAGCTCATTGAAAAGACAAGTGTTTACCAAGTGATCTTGCTAATGACACATGCATAGTTATAAATCCTCATCAGGGCCATCGATGACAGTTACCTACCTAATCACTTTATAGGAAGAAGAACATTCAATAACTCAAAGCATAGACGAGTCTCACAAAGTAGCCATAAAATTAAGGACAAATACTACTATGGAGAACTTGGCAATTGGTTGATCCAACCTTGCTCTAAGAATCGCACTGATAAAGAAGACACGAACAGTACAGTTATGAAAGGACACAATGGGCATATAGATGATGCCACACACCTCGGGAGGAGACTGCCCATCCTTTTCACACACAGGGACTAAATATTCATGAAATGGAACCCGTGTTACAAGGCAAGTCTATGAATATCAAGAGCCAGTATTACTCAGATCATGTGTTTATCATTCTTCCACCCATTTTTATATTATAAAATCATATAAATGTCACAATATGCAGGAACAAAAAGAAGAAATATACATATCTAAATAATTCACAAGTCAAAGAAGAAATGATAATAAAATGTGTGGAATACAACTAATCTGATATTTACAGATATACTAGAACTTTGAAGTGTATTTTATATTTGTGAGACCAAAAAGGATGGCCCAAAAAGCAAGACAATCTTTTGAACCAAGTAGTTCAAATAGGAACTATAAAGTAGACCCAACAGATTGAAATTAAAAACAAAGCTAAAAATACAGGTAAAATAATGGTAAAAAATTAATGAAATAATAAAGAAAAATATGCTAGTGAAGCCAAAAACTTGAAGTCGATTTTAGAAGACAAAACAGACAACCTAGCCAGGCAGGTGCCACGTGCCTGAAATCCTCATTATGGCGCAGGCTGAGGCAGGAGGATGCCAACAGTGAGGCTAGGTAGGGCAACTCAGTGCGAGCTGTCTCAAAGCTTTTAAAATGGATTGGAGGTGTGGCTCGTGGTAGATTCCTTTTCTAGCACATGAGAGCCCCTGAGCTCAAACCTCAGTCCAAAGAAAGAAAAAACAGAGGCAAACTTTGCTCAAGCTTGAGCAGGAAGAGAAAACATGCAAATAAACTGATTTAGGAAGTGAAAAGAGAATCTAATTTCAGAAATTACCAAATATAAGCTTTTGCTCATAAACATAAACATTAAATAGACTAAACAATATCCTAGGGAAAAATAATTGAGACATACATACTTAAAAATAATACTTAATCCTAAAACACCTGAAACTATTAAAGACATCTTATTAAGATAAAATATGTATGTATACATATATATCACTGAAGATGTATACTGATATATATAACTATATATATATATATATATATATATATATATATATATGTTTAGATATATACATATGTAAATCTTCAGCTAAATCCAGGTAGATTTTTAGGTGAACTATCAAATATCGAAGGAAATATAATTTTTTTTTATTTTTCAATAGTATTGACAGGTTTTGACAATCTGTGGCTAAAACCTCATAAGGAATTTACGAAAAGGAAACACAGCCAACTAGTTCTAAAAAATATTTTTAATAGGAAAAGTCCTGAGCCTTTTGTCATCAAAATAGATATAAAAATAGGAAACCAAATCAAAAGATATTCAACATCATATTTCTCAGGTACTTTCAGAATGGGCAAAACAGAATCACCCCAAGTGTTGATGGGAACACAAAGCAATCAGAACTCTGTAACTCAACCTGGACACAGCCTCCATGGTCTCTGGAATTCCTCATTAATTCTCCTAAGCAGAATGAGAGGAACAAGCATCTTCTTTTTTGTTGGTCACATTCTGTAGGCAAATGATCTTGGACCTACAAGCCATCCTGAACATTTCTGCCTTTGGCTGTACAGCTTCCCCTGCTCCTTCCCTGACTCCACCACACTCACCCGATTGTGGGTCAGCTTTGTCCTGTAAGTGGCACAGAGCTGGGTCCTGTCCTGTCTTCAGATTCTCTGATGACAAGCAGAATTTGTCACAAGCTCTAGGCCAGATCAGTGTAATCCTCTGCACTGTATTTTCTTCCACCAGTGTGACTCAGTTCTCCTTGCGGTGTTCCAGGGACGTGAGCAGAGCCAGGGCCCCTCTCTTTCAGGAGACGAGGCTGGGACCTGAGTTCTGGATCACAGCACCTCAGCCCTCCAGTCCTGCCCTGACAGAAGTCTGCAGAGCACGAGCAGGAGCTTTTGAGTCTGAGAGGGTTTCTGGGGTCAAACCAGGTTATGTTCGCTGGAAACATTACCCCTTTCTTTGCAAAAATATCCAGTTGAACAGGTCTGATCAATAGGTTCCCAGAAACTGAGGTGGGAAGGACTGATTGGCTCATCCTCACCTTTTAACTGCACTGTGTGACTCAGTGCCTGAGGGACAGGATGGGGAATTTCAGTGCCAGGTGCTGGGCACAGCCTCAGTACAGCTACATGCGAGGCTCTGAGACCACAGGAAAAGAAATCACTTGTTCAAAAATACAGAGGAGCTTTTTACTCATTTCTTTTTTGCTTGTTTGTTATCCTACTTTTTTTGCTTGTTATCATATTTTTATTTTTCATTGGTTTTTTAAGGATTGGACTTTTCCCTTTTTTCTTTTCTTTTCTTTCCATTAAATTAATACTTTTTCTTATTTTATTTTCTTTTTTTCTTCTTTCCTCCCCATTTTATTTTGTTTCTCTATCTAACTCTATTCTTTTCCTTATTCTCCTTATGAGATTCTTTCTTTTAGCTTTATCTGTGTGTCAATATCTGGATTGTGTCTGTGTCACTAACATGCTGAAATCCATTCCCAGAGAACTGAGTGCTGGGTCGAAAACTCTGCATTCTTCCATACCAAATCAATGGAAATGGATGGATCCAAGGACAAAGGAAAAAGCCTACACTTACTCATGCTCAACGTGCATCACTCAGAAGCAGGCATTGAAAATATCAGTCTCCAAACCCAACACAAGCTCTTTCCTCCATAACCACTCCCAAACCTCCACTCAAAGAGAGAACAATAGTAAGATCGTGAGAAGACAAGGCAAAAAAAAAAATTCATACTTTTGATTCTATTTTTCTAGTGAATCCTAACAGTGCATTCTGTGTCCAAAATGCCTCACATGCAGCTGACTCTGTTGGAGGGCAGTGGTCAGCTGATGAGCAGAGGGAAGTGATTGGATCATGACGGACATAACTCCACCCAGTGGTTTGATTCCTTGATGAGTCCATTAGTGGAATGGGTTAATTATGAGGTGAGGCTTAATTGCATGAAGCAAGTTACTGCAGGCTTGGCCTTGAAGAGTATCATTTGTACTGGTCATACTCCTGTCTGATTTTCTCTCCTGTGCTCCCCATATCTCTCTCTTCTTGGCTGAGGTATGGTGAGCACGTTCCTCTTTCCCACCTTTCTACCATGGATCTTCTGCCTGACCTCAACTCAGTGCAATGGAACAGCTGGCCACAGGCTGAAACCACAAACATCTAGGACAAAACAAACACTTTCTCCTTTGTGTTGATTTTTCTCAGGAGTTTTTTGACAGCAACGGAGAGCAGATTAACACAGTATCTAGTAGAGTTCACTACTTGGTTTTCTTTAGAGTACATGTCTGCTCCCAGCTTTCTGGAAGATACCTGAAGCACAGGTGTCTCTGTCTTTACAAACAGCAATGAAAACAAACAGGTAGGGGGCACTACTCAGAGAAGCTACACCATGTCTATGCACATACCTGGGACAGAGATTACAGGTGGAGTCACCATGTCTAAAGCCCAGAGAAAGGTTCAAGTTTCTACAGTGAGAAACCTTTGAGAATTTAGAACTCAAAAGAAGACGAACGCAAGATGAGGCAGAAAACTAAACACAAGCCACAGTAATTTGCATCCTTAGAAAAGCCCTTTTACAAACCTCCAACAGTCCCTTCCAACAAAGCCCTGCTTTACACAGGGCTGCTGAGGCAGGAAGGAGCCTCCAGGCTGAGAGCTGACTTGTGAAGGCCTAGAGCAGGCACTGTCTCTGTCTGCTCCTTGCATTGGGTGCTTCTTTGTTTCTTCTGTTTTACAGCCTGCACTTAAAGAAGTCTCTATCAGACATGAGACCCTTAGGTTAAGTGGAATGAGTCAGGCACAGAAAGACAGATACCACAGGATCACACTCACATGTAAAATCTAAAATAGTGATCCACAGAATTTAAGCCTAGAAAAGCAGTCCCCAAACACTAGAAAAAATAAAGGGGAAAGAAAAATGGAAAAAGATTGATCTACAATGCTGAAGTACAGGTAGACCAAGAAAGTAAACCCTGAAATGCTGCTGCAGTTGACTGTTCGGTGACTGGAGATAATGACGACATGCTGTATATTTTAAAAAGCTGGAAGAACGGGTGGAGGTCCTGGTGAGCCCCAGATCAGCATCTGCTTGTGCTGATGGGGCAGGGTAAGGGGGCTGCTAATTTCCCGGAAGTAGACCATTTTGAAGACAGGATGTTATGCCACCTCCAGCAGAGAGGGGCCTTAGAGGGAAAACAAGGTGCTCCCTAGGGCACAATCAGATAAAAGAAAACTTCAGCCAGCCAGAAACTCCCATCGTGCTCAGCAAAATGTCAGGCCGTTGCTATTCCTCAATAAATCCAGCACTCTGAGTCAGTGTGGAACCTCATTCTGGTGGGGTTCCCTGACCCTTCACAAAGATATTCTGTCTCTTGTGTTTACATTCACCTCCCTACTAGGGTTCACTGGTCCATATCCAGCAGAAAGTCTTCTCAATGTTTATGACATAAAATGAGTAATGTTTGAGGACATGTATGTGTTTATAGCCATGTGCTGTGGGGGGCACACACCTATAATCCCAGGACTCAAGATGCTGAAGAAGAGGATTACCATGAGTTCCATGCCAGCCTGGGTTACACAGTGAATTTAAAGCCAGCCTGAAGTATATCATGAAATCCTATCTCAAAAAAAATTAAACCAAAATATACATATATCAAACCATCACATGGTACCTCAGAGGTATGTGTAATTTGGGAGCCAACTAAAGTGAATAAATGAATCATTTGGAAGTACATTTATTTGTCCCCCTTTGCTGTCATTCAAATGTGCTCCTCCTTACAGCAGCATTGTATACACCATACACAATACAACATTGTTAACAAGAGAGGCCTAATAATCGACGTTTAGCTCACGAGGGCTCCATCCTCACAAGTTGATAATGCTGATCATAAAAAGACTTCAGAACACAAATCGTGTCTGTTCCTGTCTAGTGTACATTCTCTCTTATCTTTCATACTTCTGTGAGATGACACAGCAAGTGATTTGGCCCATGGATCAGTCCGTGGGTCTTGTCTGGAGAGAGAAAGGGGTGGGGAGCAGGGCAAGAGGGAAGAGAGACCGAGACAAGTTGAGTGATTCCAATCAAGTCTCATTTATTCAGGAAGTGTACATGGCTTATATAAAGTCCAAGGGAATGTGGCTTTATAGGATAGGTCAGCTTGGATCTTCTCATACGATGTGGACCTATCAGACTAGCAGGAAATTACTGTAGGCAACTAGGTAAGCGGAAGCGGAAGTATGTGAGCAGGAGAGAATTATGGGAGATGTAGGCTGAAGTGAAAGGATGCCTACGATGCATGTTGTAGGCAGAGGAGGATCATGGGAAACGCAGGCTGACACATAAAAATGCCCTCAGGTGAGAGGGTCAGGACAGCGGCCACAATTTTGAGCCTCTCCCTACAAGCAAGAAAGATCTTAACTTACCCTTCCCTCCCACCAGAACTGTAAGAAACCCCTGGTCTTTATAAATTTCACCACCTCAAGTGCTCTGCCATGGCATTACAAAATGAACAAAGAAACATGACACCGGAAAGTGGGGCTGTGGCCATAACAAAGACCAGGAAAGGTAGAAGCACCTTTGGAGCTGGGTAATGAGCAGAGGACAGGAGAACTTGGAGGAACCGGCTAGGAGCAGCCTGGATAGCTAGAATGGAGGATTGAGGATGGCTTTGCAGAGGACTCAGAAGAAGAGACGGGTAGAAAGAGCAGAGCTCCTGGTCGCAATCAGAAGGCCAGCAGAAATACGACCAGTAAAGGCCATTCTGACAAGGTACCAGCTGAGACTGAGGAACGGGGTATTGGCAACAGTGCGAAGTACATCCTTGTACAGCTGCAAAGCACCTGGAATTGTGTCAGCATCTTTGGTCTGCACCAAAGACAAAACTAAGAAGCGATGAACCAGTTGTCTGGCAGAAGCAAATAAGCAGCAAGGAATTCGAGGTGTGATACTTGATGGGGCACCACCAATCTCAGCACCTGACAACCCAATCCCAGCAGTAGACAATGAACCAATCACAAATGCTGGATTCAGCCACATCCATGACTACATGAGGCTTGGGAGAGCCATCCAACACAAACCATAACACCAACCTTATCAAACAAAGGAAAGAAAAGACTCAAATCCATACAATTAGGAATGAAAAGGGTGAAATCAAGATGGATCCTGCAGAAATCCAGAAGGTCAGCTATACCTACTTCAAAACCTGTATCAAGCAAGATGGAAAATGCAGAAGAAATGGACAGATTCTCAGATAAATACTCATTACCAAAGCTGAATCAAGAAGACATAAAAATCTTAAATAAACTAATGTCAATCAATGAAATTGAAGATATAATAAAAAAACCTATCAACAAAGTAAAGCCCAGGTTCTGATGGATTCACTGTTGAATTCTTCAAGAAATTTAGAGAAGACTGATACCACTATGTCTCAAACATTTTAATGAAACTGAAAGGAAAATGATACTCCAAAATTCATTCCTAGAAGCAAGTAATTCTCTAGTATCAAAATCAGAAAAGTACCCAACTAAAAAAGAGAACTACAAGACAATCTCCCTAATGAACATAGATACAAAAACCCTCAAAAAGATGCTGGAAAACAGAATGTAGCAAATCATCAAGAGATTATATACCATGACCAACTAGGATTCATCCCAGGGATGCAGGAATGGTTCAAAATATGTAGATCAATAAATATAATACACCATATTAACACAACCAAGTACAAAAACCATATGATCATCCCAATAGGATGCAGAAAAAGCTTTTGACAAAGTCCAACATCCATTCATGATAAAAAAAAAAAAACTACAGAAAATTGGAATAGATTGTCTTGATCTCAATCTCGTAAAACTCATCTATGACAAACCAATAGCCAACA